GCTCAAAAAATTCAAAAGGGGCATAGGGAAGAAGATGCTGTATACATATGTCCCTGGAGTGAGGTCTAGGTAATAGGGCAGGGGCCAGACTAAAGTCAGGGATACATATGGGATACATATGGTAGCTCACTAAAAAGGAGATGAGGGGGGAAAAAAGACATGGGTAGCCGGGGAACAGGGCACTAACCCAACAGGGGGAAGGTGTTGATTGTGTCTCCACAGGGAAAGAGGGACCAGACTTCAACCCGGAGCTCCAAGACAAGAACGCAACACACTGGCATGAAGCAGGGAACCAATAGAGAGGCCTGAGGGGCCAGGCCCATTACCAACTAAGTGGACAACCCCTCCCACCCCCACGCCCACCCCAGAAGAATTCATTTCAGAGGACAGCACTGAAGCTCCAGCTCAAGAAGAGGGACGTGTCTGAACAGCGCACACAGGAGCCAACAGGGGGGAAGTGGGGGGAAAAAAAAAGAGTGAAGCACATCCTGGCTCACCAAGCCCTGAGGACAATGTTCCTGCTCAGAACAGCAATGCACAGAGATGACCACAAGGCCGGCCTCACCACGGGACACAGTGTTCCTCATTGACCCAAAGCACCATTGGGGACAACACTAGAGACACACGGCAAGAACTGTGCCGGCCCTGAGCCCACTACACTGAAGCCAGCCTCTGGGGGTCATGCAGCAGAGCAGGGGGGGAGCAGAGCAATGAAGTCCCCAGGGATAGAGGCGGTGTCAGGACATGGCACCCCATCAGACTCGACTGGAAAGCACTCTTGAAGGACAACAAATAGACCCTGAACTATTTATATGTTTTTTTGTGTGTGTTGTTGTAGCTATTGTTTTACTTTCTATTGTGGCTTCCTTGTATTCAGTCTTGTGATGGTACATAGCGTGTCTACCTGGAAGGGATAGACAGCATAAACAAGCCGGAAGAGAGAACAATGGGATGACAGTTCCAGGAGGACATGGGAGAAGGAGAGGGGGTGGCGGGGGTGGGAGAAATGGGTATTAACAAACCTAGGGACAAGGGAACAACAAGTGATCCAAAATCAGTGGTAAGGAGGGTGTAAGAGGTCTGGCAAGGAGGGTGTAAGAGGTCTGACAGGGATGGATCAAGGGCAATGTAACCGAGAGGAATTCCTAAAACCCAAATGAAGGCTGAACATGATAGTGAGACAGGAGGAAAGTACAACGAAACAGAGGAGGCAAAGGGTAGTCATAGAGATTTAAATACAGGCATATACAGATGTAAATATATTTATATATGATGAGGGGGAAATAGATCTATGTACATATATTTATAGGTTTAGTATTAAGGAAAGAGATGGACAGTGGGCCCCTGCTCAAGTACTGCCTCAACACAAGAACACTTTGTTCTAACAATTCGGCAGTCTGAGACGCTCACCTTCCTGGAACTATCGCTGAAGACAATGGGTACACAAACAAATGTGGTGAAGAAAGCTGATGGTGCCCAGCTACCAAAAGATATAGCATCTGAAGTCTTAAAGGCCTGAAGCTAAACAAGCAGCCATCTAGCTGAGGAACAACAAAACCCACATGGAAGAAGCACACCAGCCTGTCCCGACTCGGTCACGGGGGACAAAGCAGGTACATAAGCAAAAGTGGTGAAGAAAGCTGATGGTGCCCGGCTATCAAATGATGTAGCGTCTGGAATCTTAAAGGCTTAAAGATAAACAGGTGGCCATCGAGCTAAGAAACAACAAAGCCCACCAGCCTACCCTGACACAAACGCTGAAGACAACGCGGGTACATACACAAATGCGGTAAAGAAAGCTGACGGTGCTCAGCTGTCAAAATATATAGAATCTGGGGTCCTATAGGCTGGAAGATAAACAAGGGGCCATCTAACTGAGAACAACAAAGCCCACATGGAAGAAGCACACCAGCCTGTGAGATCACAAGATATCAAGAAGAAAGCAAATGTTTTCAGAATTATGGCAACATATGTACAAATGTGCTTGACACAATGGGTGGACGTATGGATTGTGGTAAGAGTTGTATGAGCCCCCAATAAAATGATTAAAAAAAAAAAAGATTTACAGCCTCAGAAACCCACTGGGGCAGTTGTATTCTGTTCTACGTTAGAATCCCTTCCATGGTGGTGAGTTTGGTTTCCAGTTTAAGAACTGCAGGTAATAACAAAGAGTAACTTCAAATGGACACCGACTTTCTTTTCAGAGTGACAGAAATGTTCTGAAGGACACAGCGCTTCTGGCTGCAGGACTGCTGTACCAGCCATCAGGGAAGTGCACACACAGAAAGGGTGAAACCTAAAAGTGTGCAAATCACATATGAAAAGTGTAAACAGTAATTGGTAAAGAAAAAAACCAAAATGCTACAGTTTGTAGCAGAGGTAGAAGTAAAGTGTACTACAATTACAGTACAAAGAATAGGATGAGAAGAAAAGGAAGTTTACTGTTAAGGTTCTTATAGTTGAAGTAGTTTATCATTGATCTTAACTTGTACTTTAAGGTAAAGATGAGTAATATACACCAGTAAAATAAATCTGCTATAGTACAGGTAATAAATCAACAAAAGATTAAATAGAATCATACGCAATATTCAATCCAAAAGAAGACAGAAAGGGAAAAAGAAATCAGAACAAATAGCGAGATGACACATGTAAGCCTAATCATACCAACAATCACATTAAACATAAATGGTCTAAACACCTCCATTAAAAGGCAGAAGTTGTCAGATTGTATACAATGCAAGACCCAACACGACAGAAATACCCTATAAAAATCCTTCAATAGAAAATTAAAATAACAATAGAGGAAAATAGGAAAAAGTCCATTTGTTTAAGCAGTTCTGACCAATCTGATCAGAACTGATGACGAGTCGTTTCCATTACAACATCTATTCCTGTCTTGAAAGAACTGTCCAAAAATAGCAGCTTCTCCTTACAGCCGGCACACATCCTACAGCCCCCTTTCCAGAAGCTCAGCATATCATGCAATGCAGGTTCGGTCCACTTTGCCACTTGTTTTCAACCTATGAAGGAAATTAAACTCGACTCCTGAAGTCAGACACTGAAGACAGAAACTCTGCCAGAAGCCACACCAGGTTTTCTGGCTACAATGGGTCTCAGACAAGACAAGACACCTCTGCCCAAGACAGCGATCACTGGACCCTGAAAAATAATCTTCTGAGGGGGAACCCAAAGCTCTGAATCCAGCACTGTCGCTCTTACCGGAGTCTGGGTAGGATGTTCTCGCCCTCTTCAATCTTCCCAGTGGTTTATACTTCAGCTCGGTGCTTTGGGAAGATCGGCATAAAGGCTTCAAGCTGCAAGAAATCAGAACATCTCATTTTTCCCCTTTGGGGAAAGGTGCTAAAGTGGGAGTACTGGGTATGAAGAGGACAAAAGGTTAGCCATCGGAGAAATCATACAATTACTTTTAAGAATTGAAAAGCAATATTAAAAAACTTACAAAACACTTAAGCATTATAAACTGGTCAACATTAGTGTGGTGTATCTTCAGTAACCGGAGCAGAACTTAGATCTGGGCTCTGGCTATGGAGAAAATCGCGTCCCTCTTTTAAAAAAGCCTTTGGGAGGCCTCCTAGCATTCAGGGCACACAGAGACCTCGCTGCTTCCCCTTTCCTGTTGACTTCTATCTTGCAAGAATCTCACAAATGTTCTCTCCTCCTTGAGACCCACAGGCTGGCAGGTAGGGCACAGAAACAAGACTCCCAGAAGCCTTGAAAATAGAGTTAAAATGCCAGGTGCCCTTGATAGATTCAGACGCACGGTGACTCCGTTTGCAGAGTAAACTGCTCCACGGGGGTCTCAAGGCTGGGACCTTTCAGCCTCGCAGTACCAAGGGGCCTTGGGGAGGGGCTGAGCCTCCCATGTTTCAGCTATGACTTATCCCCACTAGGCACTCTGCTCCAAAGCCTTTTAGGGGCATCTAACATACCCAGGGATTCCTGGGAGCACAGTGAGCTAATAGGTGGGTTGCTAACCAAAAGGTCAGCAGTTCAAACTCAGAAGCTGCTCTGTGAAAGAACAACCAAACCATCTGCTTGTGTAACGTCGACAGCCCTGGAAGCCCACCGTCCTCCTCTGTCCCATGGGTTTACTGTATGTAGGAGTCAACTCAAGGGCAGTGGGTTGATAACATCCTCCTTGAGGAGTCATCAAAGCCTCAAGGTGGAACCTGTGGACGGGCACACCCATCTTCCCGCCACATGCGTGCGTGTGTGCGTGTTCCCAGGCCCGTGACTGCCCCTCTGCAGAGCCTGCTCTGCACCCTCACTTCTGTCTGCAGTCTTTTCAACCTCCCTCCCCTTCCCGCACCAGGGCATTTGCATTTTAACACGCACCCAAAGTGGAACAATACAAATTCAGGTTGCGTTCCAAAGCCGAGGCTCGGATCTCAGCTACTGTGAACTTGTGCCTTTAAGCGCTGTTCCCTCCAGTTCCTCTCTGCTCGGTCGGTTTTTCCATGTTTGAAAGAATTTGCTATGCTTGAGGCTCTCCACTCGTTCCTCGCACGAGTGTGCTCGGGCTTCCACTCACTCGCAATCCCCGGAAGCTGCTCTCCCTGGGAGCACACAAGTCATTGCTAAAGGAGGGACACTTTACAGTCCCTGGTTCCAGGTCTCCCAGGAATTTCCCTGAGGACCTCTTTCTGTTTCCTGCTCCTTGTCTTAGTGCTGCAATAGTTGGGGTGTTCAGCTGCTGAGCCCACCAACACCCCTACACAGTATGGTGGGCTTTGCTGCAAGAGATGGGCTTTGGGTTTCCCTAAAGATTTACAGCTTTGGAGAGCCTGAGAGGCGGAGGGTGGGGGTGGGGGAGTAGTTCTCCTCCATCCCATAAAATCGGTCGGAGCCATACTGACTGGGGCAATGGGTTTTATTTCCAACACGTTATTATCCCCATACCCTTGTTCTTTTGATGGCTCTACTGTCTGGACCACTCTGTCACCATCTCTGTTTCTGTTGTTGTTCATCAAGGCATTCTAATATTGAAATGTCTCCCTAAGAGAGAAATCCCAGGGTTTTCCCTCCTGTGTTTTGTCTTGTTTTCCCTTCATCCATGAGGCCATCCTAGGTGGTCAGTACAATACCAAGCTGGTAAGATGGGACCCAGTGATTCTGCCCACTTCTCTAGGTCTTTCTGAGCTGCACGTCAAATCTAGCCTGTCCACTCCCCTGAACAGTTAGTCTCAGGGACTCACGGAGCATTCGACCCCGCTTTACAGGGTCGCCATGAGCCAGAATGGGCTCCATGGCCGTGGGCTGAGCCTCCTGACCAGCGAGGGTTTCAAATTCACCAAGGCTGCTTCATCACAAGCAGACACCAGACAATGGCTTTGGGGTGCGGCGATGTTAGCATCTGCCACGTGCCTCTCGTCAGCAGTCACGACGCTCCCAAAAGCATCGGCGAGGGTGTCCACGCACACCTGTCTGGTGTCCGGGAAGGACGGGGGTAAAAGGAAGGGTGTGGTTGGCGCCTGCGGTTCTGGGAAGCGGGCAGGCAATCTCACGCTCCTCCGCTTCTCCCTCCAGCTCTCCCTTCCTTGGTCACGGCTGAATGCGCTCCCAGGGTCAGGCTTCCCTTCGTGACTCTCGCTGCCCTCGTGGGCTCTGCCGTCACCTGTACCACAACTGCTCACGTGTCTCCGGTCCAGACCTCTCTCCAGAGCATTTAAAACCCTGGCGCTGTGCGTTGTGATCCGAGCCTCTGAGCCGGAGTCCAGGACTACTGGCCTGCTCGGCCACTCCGTCCTCCTTCCAGGGTGCAGCCAGCTGTGTGCACTAAACCGTGATTGACGGCCACAAGACCGAGCTCTGGAGAGGATGGGACGTTTCTCAGTCACCTTGGACGTCAGGTAAGGGCCTGACCTGGTAACCGGCACTGCAGAGATAGTTAGTGAATGGATACAGGAAACGAGGAGGAGGAGGAATGATAACAGAAAAAGGGCCTTTCCTCGCTGTTTCATCTCTCCTCTGAGTTGCGTTTACTCATTCGATAAGTATGAATGAGCGGTCACTCTCACTGGCCACCTACTAGGCGTTGTCCAGGGCACGTTTCCTGTAGTAAGTCTAAATCTCGGAAAGAAAAAAAAAATCTAGCAAGTAGCTACGAATAGTCCTATTTTTTTTTATTATAAAAGACTTAAGTAAATATGCTAGTCATAAGCTCAGAGACACACTCTGTTAACAAACAGTGGAGCGAAGATTTGACCCAGGACAAAATAACCACGCTTCCTGTATGCCCTGCCACGCTGAGAACAAAATGAAAGGCAGGGAAAACCAAAAATGGATAGAAGTTCAAAAACATCCAGGCAGACACGGGGCCTAGATTTGTCTCACAGTCAGGCAGAAAGGAGCCTTTGTCTCCCAGCCAAGCGAACGCCAGCCCCATGGGGACACAAAGTTTCACAAGCTTCACCTACTCACATTTCTACAACTTTGTCCACAGTTGTGCCAATGGGGATGACATTTGGATACGCATTCACTGGGCAGATGTGGCTCAGGAAGTCTTTAATCTACAAGGAAGGAAATAGAATCAGTGATCTGTACTGTGAAAACTGTGGGAGTCGGAGCAACCTCTAAAGGGAGGAGACATAAAGGCATAGAAAGAGCCGCAGGGATGT